CACGGAGGAGGGAGGATGAAGGAACATGCCTGTTCGGCTCGCAGAGCTGCCGGCAGGGCTGGCCTTGGCCTTGGGGAACCCGCTGATTAATGAGCACTTGGGTAACTGAAGAAAGTCTTGCTTCATGCTGATTTATTTTTTTTGTTTGTTTGTTCCCCAAAATGGTTGCTTGAGACCTGCATCTTTAGAGCTCTGTCAGTGTCAAGATAGCGTAGTTTTCCAGTCGAGTATAATTGCAGCTAAACAGGCTCTGGTGATGTTTTTTTCTGTGTTATTAAAGAAATAGCTCTGTTAACAACGTGTGGAAGGAATAATGCCTGCGTGCTGGAGCTGCAGGTGTGTCTTAGCAAAATATTTGGTTACTGTATAGAGTGGAAAAATATTTGTCTTTCTAAGCTTTCACTTTTACTGTTGTTGATTCACTGTCTAACAATACGAAGCTGAATACTTCGCGCGTAGATGTGAAAGCGCTCACAGGAACACGAGATCCTGCCTGAACTGTAGCTGTTGCTCTGCCCCTGGACGTAACCACCGAAGAGAAACGTCCTGCGGTTCTTTGAAGCCGGTACAGGTGTTGCTCCCGGCTCAGCTGCAGTGAGGAGAGCCACCTGACATGGCCTGTGGTCCCTGGGTCACGTTTTCAGAAGTGCTGATGTAACAAGCGTTTAAATTCCACTGACTGTTAGCGGGGTTTAAGTGCCTAAGTCGGTGATTCCCAAACTGTGGCTGGCATACCTCTTGTGCAGCTCTTGGTAACAGTTTTTGTGTTCGTTCCCGTTTTTAGCTAAAAGTTGGTAAAAGGGCCATCATATAAGAAACGTGAAAGACTGCTGGAGGTCTATAGCCAAAAATATTTGTGAACCTCTGCTCTCAGTCACGTAAGTGTCCTTTGAAAATATCACCCTTTCTCAGGGAGAACAGTTGAAGCAATGGAGATGAGGACAGTTGCTGATGCAACTAAAAATAAAATACAGTCGTAATCACTAAACTTTGATCTGCTCATAAAAATGTTCACTGTAATCGCAAGCCTTTATTTGGTCTGTTAATTTAAAACTGCATAACTTCACATGTTAAAATAAAGGAGTGCACTCTTGGAAAAAAAACCTGTTTGTCCTTTTAGCACAGGATTGGTAACTACTTGCTGTATAAAAGCTAGTTACTAACAAAATATTCTGCAGTTGATATTAATTTCCTGCGGTTTTCTGTCACCTGAGATAGAGCTGAATATTTCTAAAAAATTATGATAACCTTAAGAATTGCAGATTTTCAGATATTGGAAACTATTTTGGCAGCAGGACTTCGACGCGTGTCTGTAAAATCATTTGTTTATCCCTCTTTAAGCCTGTAGAAATTCTCTTGCTGAAATGATGTGCTCAGCTGGGTGCGAGCACTTCCTGCAACTCAGCTGAGGGAGCAGAAGTGTTGAGCAACTGGACCCAGTTAACCGTTGCTTTGTTTAAACCCTGCACTTGTTCACTTAGCTTCTTATCGGAGGGGCAGAAACGGGTAAGTGTGCTTGCATGATCATCCCCAAATTTTCAGTCATGGGCAGCAAGAGGAGAGCGTACACCTGAAATGACTTTCCTTCTGTCTACCAAATGTTGCATACTCTAGGTTCAAGCATGCTTAGATGATTTTTTTTTAATTTTTTTTTTTCCACAAATAGGACATGATTTTTCAAGTGGTGAGAGTGCTGGCTTGTGCCGTATACCTTAACAGCTTTCGGATTGCTGGTTTTCTAGTCACCGGGTGTTAATGCATTGCTGTGAGATGCCACTTCACCTGCGTGGGACTGCACACAAATACTCCATGCTAACCCTTCGGGGAAATTATTCAGAATTTAATTCCTACCTGTTACTTCCATGTTAGTGTAACAAAACTAATTTTTGCTCAAGCCTCCATTTTTATGAACTTAATAAAAACAAATACTATCTTTTTTGCTTGAGTTTTAGATGGATTAAATGATTGATGATAGCATGGTGTGGTTTTTTTTCCTTATGCTGCTATAAACTGGCCTTTTTTCTGTCATTTTATGGAAGTGAGGACTTTCAGAACATGACTTGGGGAACCGCTGGTTTGCAATTTTTCCTAGTGTTTGTCAACCAGAGGTATTGCAGGGACGTGGTGTGGGGACTTACCCTCGGGAGGGATGTCCCTGGGGGGTGTGAGTGTACAGTTAAATTATCTTTTCTGTAGGATTAGCCAGTGGCTGTGCCTCAACCTGAACCTTTCCCTGGGAAATGGAAAGTCGTTTATCTGCTGCTGGAAAGAGGAACATGCAACTTTGAATTACTTAACACGGGGCAAGGAGGGGGGGAGATACGTAAACTGATGCTACTGATAAGGTAACAGCCTTGCTTTGTACTACTGCAGCTTCTCTGTGTATCCACACATTCTGAGCCACTGAGCTTCATAAATGTGTCTGTGACCCCACGGGAAGCCAGTACTTTGCAGTTCTGCTACAGCTTAGTTTTTCCTACATGCAGTTATCTGTCCTCTATAGTTTTTTTTTTTAAGACATGCTCTATAAACCTTCCTAAGAGAAGTTGAGGCATTACAGTAGCACTCCAAAGGTGTAACAAAACCGCAAAAGCAGGCTGACTGCAAATTGTGATACCCCAGCAGGGCAAGGGCACTTTAACTGCCTCTCTCTGTAGAGGGACAGTTAAGAGACAAAGATGGTGAACGACAAAGCTTTTCAGTCTGTTTATAGAAGCAAACACCCAAATCATATAACTGCTTTAAAATACACGGTTTAAATGTGTAATGCATCCAGTAGAGAGCTGCTGAATAGAGCAGCCTCTATAGAAGAGCATCTGGGGGGGTTTTACTTGAGCACCTGTTGTTATTGGAGGCGTAGGAAATGGCAAAAGCCAGAATCCCTTGCTGTATAGCTGGCACCTTCTATAAACACTTTGAGCAGGTTTCATTGCTGAGGCACAGGTTAAAATGTAGTTGAATAGATCAGGGTAAGGGAGGAGAACTACTGTCAAAGAAGATTTATAGTTTTGAGTCCTTGTCTACCTTCTAGTCCACCCAGACTGTATCATGGCACAGCTGAAGGGCTCGTGTGGAGCGGAGTAAATAATAGAATATATGTCAAATAAAGTAGGTCACCTGCAGTTGAGTTTAGACTCTTAAAAAGTATGATACGGAGCTAGAATACCCAAGCCCAAATGTCCAGAGAATTTTTGCAAAAGGCCCTAAAGGCCGTTACCTATCTGGTAGGTCAGTTCTGCAGTCAGGCAGATTAACAGGATAAGTACTTCAGCTAGGAATAGTGTGTCTGGAGCAAGTGGTATCTGAAAAATGTCCAAGATTAAGTCATTGGAAACAATCCAACCAGGATACTAGAAATTGGTGAAAGGCTGAAACCCAGGGCGAGCGTAGTTTGCTGCCAAACAGAGCTGTCTTCAGGGAGATGGCACACAGGGAGCTTGGAAAACAAGGCATTAAGGAAATCCTGTGTGCCTGGGGATGCTTCTAGCCCCTCTCTGAATAGTTCAGTGTCTTGAAGTCTGCAAAATAACTTGTTGCTCAGTGTCATAACTGAGTCTGTGCAGTGCCTTGGTGGTTGATGTAGTCTTCTGACCAGCTCTGGGCAGTTGGACATAACTTAGCAGTTGTCCTTTCCCACATGATGCTGGTTCCTTCTTTTACCTACAAGCATGTGATATGGGAGTGGAAAAAAAAAAAAAAAAGCCTCTGGCCTAGAAATACCCTTGTCTCTTTTCAGGAACTCCATTTTCCTAGCAGATGGAGAATGTAATGGAGTAGAGGAGAAGAGAGTCATCCTTTATTTGGATAAAGGAATGAGAGAAAGAGGTGCCACTAGTGAATAATTTTTTTTTTTTCCATCTTTGAGTAGAACGTGACCTCTCTAGTGTGTAATAATGCTACTGTTTGCCTCCTAAGTAGGAATACTGTTACTTTGATATTCCTGTACTGCTACAGGCACCGATGCTTTAAGGTACCCAGGCTAGCTCTGTTTCTGCACAGCACAGTTATAGCGTGGAACTTAGCTCCTTAATACAGTCACTAAGACTACAAGGAGGGGAAAAGCAGTCCTGGGCTGCGGTTTGTACTGCTGGAATTTGACGCCAATCCAGTGCTGCTTTCTTGTGAAGCATGTACCCCAAAATGCTCCTTGTGCTGCTGTGTCCTCTCGACTGGGCTGGGGTCCTCCTGTCTTCTGTTTCTGGAAATCTTTTGCACATTGACTAAATCCAAAGCAGAGAATATCTTTTCTCTTCTTCTCCAACTTTCCCTCTCCAGTTTAGAAAGCCTGAGAGACTGGAGCGATTCTGATACATGAGTGTTATCAGGCAGAGAAGGTACTTGGGCTACTAATTTGTAATACAAGTTGGATAATTACTCAACACAACATGGTTGAGCACCTTGACCGTCAAGCTTTTGCACATAAATTATGACCATTTCAGAAAAAACCTGCTGGTGTTCTGACCTTCCCTTGGGAGCTGGGCCTGTTATTATTGGCTAGAAGATCTCTGAGTGAATCTGCTGTGTTGGGACCCTCTGGAGACTTGGAAAGACATTCAGTTGACATGGTCTAGGGCTGTAGTAGTTTTATGTGCTCTCTTAAGGACTTCTCAGACCCAAGAGCAAAGGAGTCTGATGAGGTTTTGGCTCTGGTTATGTTGTTGCTTAGTAGGTAAGGTTGGAATATTGGTTTGGGGCGTTTTCTGGGAACGTATTTCCTTGGGGGGCTGCGTTTGCCTTGGAAAGAATCTTCCCACCTCAGAGAGATTGTGCAAAGTTAGTCATGTGGAAGATGTCTTGACAAACACAGACCTTGCTGATAAATATGTGATGGTTGTGTTCTGAATGTGGGTAAATGCTTGAAAGGTGGTCCCAAACAGGAGTTTTCTAGGCTGGGATACTGCTTGAATTGCAATAAGTAGGTACTGTTTTTGTTTTGTTCAGAGTGCCAAACCACGTCTGTCTTTTCTAAAAGAAACTTTTGGTTTTGTGGTCCTTTGTAGGCGTAACCTGACAAAGTTATCCCTGATATTCAGCCACATGCTGGCAGAACTCAAAGGTATATTCCCAAATGGCCTTTTCCAAGGAGACACGTTCCGGATCACCAAGGCAGATGCTGCAGAATTTTGGAGAAAGGCTTTTGGTGAAAAGTAAGTTTCTAACTATGCTTAAAACCAGAGATGTGGGAACAAATGCTTTTTTTTTTTTTTTTTTTTTAAGATTCTGGTTTGCAGTTCAGAAAGATCTTTGTCAGGTTAAAAATGAATGATGGGAGAGACCTGCTAGTCATTTGGTCCGCTCTCTGGGATGAGATACAGGATTGTTCCTACACTGTAATTCCCAGTTCTTTGTCCTGTCTTGTTTTAAATGTGTCAAGTGATGGGTCTTTCCCCACTTTCCCTTGGAGACTCTTGTCAGAGTTTCCCTTGATTATTCATCTTAAATTTTCCTCTGCTTGATTCCTTAATTTGTATGTGAGCTCCACAAACTGTGCAAAATAATCTGCTTTCCTCTTCCAGAGGTTAGCATGCCCCCAATATTAGTAAATTCTCTTTAATTTATCCTCCAATTAGTCTTTCCAATCACTTAAGTCACCTTTCTTCTGGCTTCTCTGAACTTTTGTCACTTTGCCTAATGGCTTTCTTAAGATCGAATGCAGGAGAAAGTGAAGTGCAATGTATATTTGCGTGCAAACTGTTGAAACATCCGTTTTAATTTTTGTGTCTAGTAAAACACCGACGAAATGAACTGTAGAGGTTTGAGGATTAAAGTTAAGGGAATTGGGTACTGCTTTCTAACTAAGGTACTTCACATAAAAAGTTGAATTAGTAGCTGTCAGAACAAAAAGCAATAATATATTTACTCATGAATAACACAGTTGTCTGAAGCTAGGCATGTTCTTTCTGTGTTTCTATTCCACTTGATAATTTAAAAGAAGGAAAATACTCCTTTAAACAGGAGCCTCTCTTTTGGCTTCTGATTATCTTACTTCTCCAGTTAATCCTTCTTTAGAGAATTGTTTGCAGCTTTTTTTAAACTATCTAGACCTCTACTATAAGACTTATTGTTAACTCCTTCTCTACCAGCTGCAAAACTATGAAATTCTTTTCAATGTATGGTTGTGTACAGCCCAGGGTACATACGAGCTTTGACACGATAAAGCTGCAGAAAAAGGGAAAGGAGAAAGCGGAGCTGGACTTCAGATTCCAAAATTTTGCATATGCAGAAAAAATTGTCTGAAGTTCGTTTGACTGCTGATTTCCTGCAATACCGAGAAATCCTCTCCTTGTACAACATGAATAAATCTCTTGTGGCTAATTTTGATTTTCCTCTCTTCCGTTATGGTGAGGTGAATACTCACCCCCCAAAAAATGTATAAGGTATGTACATGGTGGTGGTCTTCAGACATCCCACATTCACAGGTGGTTTGGTTTTCCCCAGGACTATCGTTCCTTGGAAGAGCTTCCGTCAGGCCTTGCATGAAGTGCATCCCATCAGTTCAGGGCTGGAAGCCATGGCTTTGAAGTCAACGATTGACTTGACGTGCAATGACTACATTTCAGTATTTGAATTTGATATTTTCACACGACTTTTTCAGGTAAGAATTGAGGAATATGTATCACTTGAAATGTGTCTCAGTGCTTCCCGTTAGACCCATTTCCCAGGACAAACTATATTTTTACACACTAAAATAACATTATTTATTCAGTAAGGGATTTGGTCGTCTTGCCCTTCATCCTCTAAACTCCTCTAGTAATACTTAGGACCCTGTATTATGTGTGTGATACTTCTGGTTGTAGAAGTAAAAATTGTCTAAACATAAACTGCACGTTCAGTATCCTCTCCTGAATCAGTTTTTCCCTTTCAAAGGTCACTTTTAGACTGAAGTTCTGACACAACTTCTGTAAGCCAGGAAATGTGAAGCTTAGTTTATCACTCTGTCTTTCCTCATCCTTTTCTTTCTTGTCAGATTTATTTTCCAGCGGAGGGGAGAGGGGGGGTGAGCGGGGGGTGGTTGTTCAGGATGGAGCATGAACATGGAAATTTGGGCTTCCTGGCTTTTGATCTGACACAGCCGGAATGTTGTGGGCATGTCTGTGTTCTGGGCATGAGAAATACCTGTATTACTGAAGTGATTACTAATAATAGGTAAAATTCTAACCCACAGTCAGTGCTAAACTCAAAAACACAGCTTCTGATGGTGCAATTGGCCGTGTACAAGAACAAACACTTACTTCTTTGGCTCTGACTTGCCTTTTCCCATGTGATAGGGTGGGTTGTAATTAAGATATGTCTAGATGAAAAATTCCCATGTCCGGTGTTGCAATGTAGCTGATCTCATTCAGTACTTTTTCCAACTATAGTACATAAAGAGCAAGTTAAGAGTTGCTGCAGTTTCCAAGAGGTGCAAAATTCTTAGGGAGAGCTAATATCTTCTTTTAGACAAATTGAGAAATTTGGAAAAAAAAATGGGTGAGATTTAGACAGACAAGCCCTGCTCAGGATTGAGAGCTTTTGAACGATTGTTATTATTTTTTTTGTATGATATTTAAGGAATAATTAACATGTATGTGCTGGTTTAGTTGTTCAAATCTTGGATTAGCTAGTAATCTTTGCCACACCCAAGTGAGGTGAGGTGGTTAAGGAACAGTCACAAGCACAGTGATGCTGAGGACAGAGAGGGGAGGTCACTTTCCTGAGGCCCTGGAGGAAGTTGGTATTAGAGATCAGACTAGTCATGGTTTCTGGTTCTGTGCATAAGCTTATTAAACTCCCGTCTTTATCCCTATCTCAGGAATGAGTCATTTTTTCTGCAGAAGCAGCATAAATTGGCGGCTATTCTTGAGCTGTCTTTTTGTGACCTCAGTGACTTCCCCCTTAGCATTTATTAAAGGAGTTTTGATTAAGGATTGGCTTAGGTGATGTTTTTATCACTACTGAAGGAAACTCAAATGCTAGGGCTGCTCTATGAGAATGGATGGGGCTTTTAGTTCCTCTGCTGGCTCTATGATGGATAAGAAACCTGCTTCTTTAACTGATCCTTTTGGCTAAGGAACACTCTGTGTGTCGATACGTTTCAGAAGTGCACGGTTAATGTATTTCTTTGTTGTTTCTATAGCCATGGTCGTCTTTGCTCAGGAACTGGAATAGCCTAGCAGTGACTCATCCTGGTTATATGGCATTCCTAACCTATGATGAGGTGAAAGCCCGGCTTCAGAAATTCATTCACAAACCTGGCAGGTTAGTGCTTGACAGCAGTGACGTTTTTGATCGTTCTGGCTAACGTCTCTGATGACTGCTCTGTCTGAGGAGAAGATTGGCTTTATTTTGGTTTTGTCTTCCTTCCTCAGAAACGTAAACTGTGAAAAACCCTAGCTTGCCCTGTGTTTGGAGATTATCCTCCGCGTGGTGATTTTTCTCCTGCCCACCCCGCCGGTTGTCCCAACAGCTCCCTCAGGCATGGGCAGACTGCAGAGGCAGACACTGCCGGAGCGAGCCGACAGGGTGGGCTGCTTAGGACCATGAGTAAGGGAATGTGTCCATCAGTCCCGTAACGTTCTGATGTATATGCATAAAACCGAAAACTGAATGGATTGCAGCTCCCAGAATTACTGTGTACATGTGAAGCCAACTCCGGACTGGCCAAGCACCTGACCAGTATTTGCTCTGGCAGAAGCAGCGTGCTGGGCAGGGCATGCAAGGTGATGCTGCGGGCTGAGCACGCTGCAGAGGCTGTGGGAGGTGACGCCTGCCTCTGGGGGGGCTGTGGGCCTGGGCAGTTTGGGGCTACCCAATGTTCTGGGTAGAACTTGGCCCGGTGCAACAGGGCTAACGGATTTCTCTTTATGCAGGGAGGGCCAAGTGTTCATTCCTGGAGGTTGTTACTATGTGGGTAGCTCTGCGCTGGTTTTAAAAATGGAAACCTCGTGTAGTCTGATTGTTGGTTTTGTTGGTTTGGGTTTTTTTTTTAAAGTTGATTTGGAACAAATGATTTTAAGGATGCTAACTTTTCTTGCTCTGGATTCTGGGTTTAATTTCACCTTGAGTTTAATTTCACCTGAAGGCCAGTGCTTGGATGCTTTTCTCACTTCGTATCAGATTGCAGGGTTATCCTTTGATCTGCCTGGGGGTAAATTGAGGAATCACCAGTTTTTATTTGCTGTCTTGATAGAGCCAGACAAAGGCTGCCTACCTGACATTTAATCTTTTCTGTCTGTTTCTGTCCAAACTGAAGTTTCCTTTCCTTTGTGTGTTTTTAGTTACATTTTCCGATTGAGTTGTACACGACTCGGTCAGTGGGCCATTGGCTATGTCACTGCAGATGGGAACATCCTTCAGACAATCCCCCACAACAAACCTCTTTTTCAAGCACTGATTGATGGCTTCAGGGAAGGCTTGTAAGTAACTTCATCAAAACGAAGTTTCTTGCCCTTTTTGTTTGTTTTATAAATGTTAATCCTGTGGTGAGGTCTTCAAGTCAGTTGAATGGGAAAAACATACCCTCTGGGTTCATCACACATTCTCGACTCCACGGGAGAGGCAGCACGTTGCAGAGGTCAAGCAATCGCTGTTGACATCGCTGAGGCCCTTTTCGGTATCACTGGGCTCTTCCCTTTTATTTAGACCTTGATTCAACACAAAACAGTTCAGTCGTGTGACTAGTCCCATTGAGGTCAGTGGAGTAATTCATCTGCTGAACTGTTTTGACACTCGAGAGTGCTCAGATGGCTGGTTTTTGCACTGGAGAGCTAGACTGGCCTTTGCCGTAGCCGACGATAAGGGTGCGTCAGGGTTTCCCTTGTCATTGATTCTTTCCCAGTCGAGTCCTTAATTTGAGCCACTGCGACTGATATTATGGCACCAGTTTTCTTACTCTGGATATTGCAGTTTCACTACAGGATAATTTAAGAAGAGTAGTCTGGCACCATAACATCCTCGTGAAAATAAAAATTGCTGCCGGGAGGGAAAACAAGCTTCTTTTTACTTTTAAGAATGACATGTTTGGGTTTTGTCCAATAGTAAAATTCTTCCAAAACATCTTTTCAGTTCAGAATACCTCGAATTCCCACCCCTCGCTTCTCACCCTCATTCTTTCTTTCCTCTACCATCCCCAAAAGAAACCTTTATGTGTGTGCCTGTGTGTGTATGCATATGTGTCTATGCACATATAGAGAGAGAGATCTTTTTTTTCCCCAACTTCTTACAGTTATTTATTTCCCGATGGCCGGAATCAGAATCCTGACTTGACTGGCTTGTGTGAGCCCACACCTCAGGACCACATTAAAGTCACACAGGTGAGCAGAGTATTCTGTGCCATCAAACTTGCTTTCTTCCTTCCTAATTTCTAGCCTCCTTAGCTGTTTATACAATTCTGTCACATTTGGTATCCCCAAGACTTGTTTTTAAGGCTGATGTATTGTATTTTACAGGAGTTGCAGAAATCTTTGAATGATAGGGATGGGCAGAGGAGACTGCAAAAGTTAGATGAAGTTTTATGCAGGGCTGACAGATTTTAAGATTTTTATTCATTTTTTTTAGAATATTCTGCCAAATTTTAGAATATTCTGCTTTTGTGCCATTCAACGTGTCCTGAGCCCTGCTTTCCCAGGCTGTCCTTGGGACACCTAAATGGCAGTCTGGGGTAACTTGAAGTCCTCTTTTTTCAGAGCCTGACAGATATATCTAGTACATAAAATTATAGTGAAATCTTTGCAAACTTCTGTTCTCCTTCGCACTGCGTTCAGATTTTTTTTTTTTTTCCCCTGCAAATCTTGTGTTGAGTTCCTCGTAGCTATGGCTAAGGGTGCTTGTTGTTTTACAGTATCAACCATGTCTGTCTGTCTTTCCCTAAGGAACAATATGAATTGTACTGCGAGATGGGCTCCACGTTTCAGCTCTGTAAAATATGTGCTGAAAATGACAAGGATGTGAAGATTGAACCGTGTGGCCATCTGATGTGCACGTCCTGTCTCACTGCGTGGCAGGTGAGGCGTTGCCTCTTGTTAATCTCTCTGAGTGAAGCTCTTTGGTTTTTCACGGGTATCTTCTCTTCTCAAAACTATTCAGTTTCCTTCAGGTATGGAGATAAGATAGCACAACTGGGGACATAAGCTCATAGTTCAGTAACAGCAGTGCATCAGTGCCAGCTTCACCAGCGCAGGGCGAAGGCGATTTGATCACAGAATCATCTCGGTTGGAAAGGACCTTGCAGCTCCTCCAGCCCAACCGTGAACCTCACCCTGACCGTTCCCAACTCCCCCAGATCCCTCAGCGCTGGCTCAGCCCAACTCTCCAACCCCTCCAGGGATCCCGGGGACTCCCCCCTGCCCTGGGCAGCCCATTCCAACACCCAACAGCCCCTTCTGCACAGAAATCCTTCCTCAGAGCCAGCCTGACCCTGCCCTGGGCAGCTTGAGGCCATTCCCTCAGGGCCTGGCGCTGGGGCCTTGGCTCCAGAGACTCATCGCCCCTCTCTGCCCCCTCCTGGCAGGGAGTTGCAGAGGGCCAGGAGGTCTCCCCTCAGACTCCTCTTCTCCAGACTAAACCCCCCCAGTTCCCTCTGCCCGATGCCTGATCTCTTAAGCTGGGAATAGGCAAGAAGTGCGAGGACTTGCTAAGAAGCTGTTTCTACTTCAGAGAGAAAATACTCCATATTTGTAGCCCAGTTTGCCTTCCTGTCTTCCTCTCAGTTGAAAGAGGTTTCAAACCTCTTTGTATCTTAACTGTGCGTTTTAATTTCTGCATCAGAGTGGCTGTGGTAACAGATCTCTTCTCTTCCCTGAAGGAATCAGAAGGCCAGGGTTGTCCATTTTGCCGCTGTGAAATCAAAGGCACGGAGCCAATTGTAGTAGACCCATTCGATCCCAGAGGAGGAGGAGGGTTATCACGGCAAGGGGCAGAAGGAACTCCCTCACCCAATTATGATGATGATGATGACGACAGAGCTGATGATTCCCTCTTCATGATGAAAGAACTCGCTGGTACCAAAGTAAGCTCACCAGAGCGTGTGGTAGTAGAAGTGGCAATACGTACGAAGGCTGAATGTTCTCCATCAGTTTTCTGTGGTCTTAGTGATTTGTGGGTGGGAGGGTTGTCAGACCTGATAACAGAAAAGGTTTTACTCAGGATGGAAAGCAGGGTTTTAGGTTCAGTTTTGTCCGTTCGGCTCAAACTGTCGGTTCTAATAAGCGGTGTTGATCACACTTTGAAATCTTTAATCTTTTGTGTGTTGCCTTGAAAGGATCCTCAGGAAGGTGAAAAGGCTGGCTTGACCTATTGGAGTGTAAGAGCTAGGTTTAGAACACTTCTCTGCATGCGCAGCAATGCCGCTTTTATTGCCCATAGTTCACCCGTATCAGCAAAAACTCATCCATTTTCCCAGTGATGAATACAGCCAGCCAGACACCGTCTTCACAAGGTCCTGATGACTAACCGGGTAGAGGGCAGGCTGTTTTGCTGAGGAAGACAATTTGACTGTCATCTTTTTATATGGTGTCTGATAAATCTATATAATAAAGGTGTGATAACTCTTTGCTATTAGTGCTACTTCCTTCCAGGAGATGTGTACAAGACAGACATTCTTTATGGATCCCTGCATGGGCTTTTTTTTGAAAAACTTGTTGTTGCTCTTACACATCCGTTGTTTCACTGCGTAGGGAAGTATGTTTGGACTGATTTTTTAATGATTGAATTCACTAAAATAAGCTGCCTTTCCTGGTCAGAAAGAACCTTTGCACTGGTTTACTCAAGGTCATATTTCTCTTTAGCTTCAAGCCTGTAAAATAGTGTACTAAACAGTAACCCTTATTCCTGGAGGTACTTTTTGCATACATAGCTTGGGGAAGCAAAGCAGTTTCCTCGGTGTGACCTCCTGGCATGGTTTGCAGGAGGCTAGTACTCTTCAAACCTGCATAAAGCTTTTCAAAGTTGGAAAGCACTAGCCTTGCTTGTGAAATAAACTTTATGAAAAAGAGAAGAAAATGGAGTTTTTAGTGCACAGTAGTGAGTGCTGGAACAGGTAGTTTGCACAGTGGTGCCTGCAGTAAGTAGGTTTTGCAGCACATTATGCCCTCTAGTGTCAAAAAAAAAAAAAGGTTGCTTTTGCTGAAGGCGCGGTAAGGCAGGTTTGTTACTGCTGCAAACCATTTTGTCTTTTATTGTGCCATTGCTAAGTGTGCATTTTCAGTTGTGTGCCACAGCTGAGACCACTGGTGACCTTCAAGGCTTGCAGTCAGGTATTGTTGTGCCTTCATTTGCCTTCATTTGCTGCCGTGTGATTGTTCCTGATACAGTGATGTGATAATGTAACAGGGCAGTGATATTGAAGCCAGTGCAAGTCAGAGAGCGTGAAAGCTTCTCTAGAGAAAAGGAGTTCTTCTGGATTTTGTCACGGGTTGATTTTCCCATTCTTTCCTTTCTCAGGTTGAGCGTCCTCCTTCTCCGTTCTCAGTAGCTCCACAGGCCACGCTCCCTCCTGTGCCGCCGCGACTGGATCTCTTGCAGCAGCGAGTGTCCAACCCGCCGGGGGCTTCCAGTCCTGGGACCTCTTCAAAGGTCAGACACCCTGTTTGCCCTTTCAGCTGTGCTTTCGGTGGGGCAGGCAAGAAGAAAAGCGTTCTGGTGAACACTGCGTGTTCCCTGTGATCTATCCCTGAGTACTTTCACACCACACTTTCTTCTTCCTTTTCTGTAGTCCTGTCAGGTCACTTCCATTCCCCACAAAAGCTCAGTCTGTCCTGAAAGCAAATGCTTCCTTCTGGAATCCATGGGAGGACAGTCCCTTCTTGCTGTTTAAAGGGCCTGTCTTTTCTTCACTTAGGCTGACTGGTGGTTCTCCTGTTGAAGTACCAAGTTATTGCTGTTATTATTAGCTATCTTCACTGGCTCAGCCTCAGCCTCTGCTGCCCGTGCCCTTTGAGCTGCCTTTAGGGGCTTGAGTTTTGTCCTAGCTAGCAGGCTGGATGTGGGAAGGTGTCATATTTCTGTCCCAACTTTTCTTCACAAATTCTTCCATCAAGCAATTTTTTTTACAGATAGAAAACTAAGGAAGGAATGACATATGTGTGACTGGGAGAGATTAACTGGTTTTCTGCTTGACTAGCAGAAGGCAATAGTGTGATCTTGATGGCATTTGGTCATTGGCTCTTGAGACATGGCAGCGGTTCTTCATTCAGCTGGTTTGGATGAAGTCATGAAATTATGCTTGAAAATTCAGGCAGAAGAAAATAGCCATTTCTACGAATATTCAGTGCTGACAGATGAATGTTAACTTGTAGAAATAACCCACAATTGAATCTTTTTTTTTTTTTAATATATGATGGCTATTCCTTGTTTGGAATCCAATCTAATGCTGCTGTGAGCTTTTGTTTTTTTCTTCAAGAAAAATCTGAGGTGTTTAGTGCCCTAGCTGTAGCTGCATGTAGTTACTGTGCTGTTTCTTCAAGCCTGTAGAGAAGGTACCTCTGGAAGGTTAACTGGTGGACACGTGGAGAGCTATCTCCACATCCTTTGAGATAATTTCTTGTAGAAATAGATAAAACGAAAACCAAAACTCACCCTTCTGCCACCTGCCTCCCTCCTTTTTATTTTTGTGGCTAGACAACCTTTGTTAAGCAATATTTTACATTCTTCTGCTTTCCAGGCTGCACCTGGTACTCTTCACAAGGATAAACCTTTGCCGATCCCACCCACGCTCAGAGATCTCCCACCACCACCACCTCCGGACAGGCCACATTCCATTGGGACTGAAAGTCGACCTCAGAGACGTCCTCTGCCCTGCACGCCAGGAGATTGTCCTTCGAGAGACAAACCACCCCCCGTGCCCTCCAACCGTCAGGCGGACCTGTGGCCATCCAGGCCAATTCCAAAAGCCCCATCTGTAGCTCTTAGCCCTGGTGACCCTTGGGCTGGGAGAGAACTGTCAAACAGGCACTCGCTGCCCTTTTCCTTGCCCTCTCAGATGGAGTCCAGGGCTGACAGCCATCGGCTTGGGAGCACGCTCAGCCTGGACAACCCAGTGGTGAGTAGGCCTGTCGGAGGTGGAGGTAGTCCGTGAGGAATTAAATCTTCCAAGGTGCCCTCTTCTCATCTGACTAGGGTGATCTTGTGCCAAGGGAGAGCTGGAAAGGAACTGATGAGTGCTCAACAAGGGAGAATAATGGGAGGACTTCTTAGGGAGCAAGGCTGAAATCCCAGTTTGAGCAGTCGTGAGCCACGATTTCGTGATCACCGTTCACCTTTCAGTTTTGAAAAACCGAGAAGACTGTTTTGTATGGGAAGCTGGTGTGCTGCAAAAGTGTAATTTACTCGTCTCGATTTTCAGTCCTGTACAACATACACAGTAGCTATGCTTCGTTTAACGCCGTAAAATCCGAGTTAAATTTGGATCTGTTACTATTGCCAATGTCATGACGTGTAATTTAGTAGTCCAACATATTGTTCTCTAAAAGAAATCCCAGGCAATTTTGCTTTCTTTGATTCCATTCCTCTAATTTTTCCTTTTCAAACCTCCAGCTTTCTCAGATTTAAAGCAAGTACATTTCTAGACAGATTGTCTAAGAAAATGACACTTGCCCATTTGTCATTCTGTCTCTTTATGTGTGTGCTTGTCTCTATCCTTTTCCTCTTGTCCCACATTTTGGCCTTTTGGCCTATTTTCAGCTGAAATTGCCAAAGCCATTGGAGTCTCAAAAGATACAAAATTCCTGCAGTTTTTGTTAAGCAGTCAGTTGACTACAGGAGAAAAACCCTACTTGTGCCCTCACTGAGGGAAAACTACTGGATTTCTAAGGTGTCGATAAATGCTTTGGAACAAATGAAGGTGCTTCATTTCCCCAGAGGGTGTGTTGAATGACTGTCTGAGAGCTTTGCAACTGCACTGCTTTTTGTAGTGTTTCTGATTCCCAGTTTGGATTTTTTTTTTTCTTTCAGAGCTTGAACAGCGCTCCAACAACAACCCCAGAGTGTGAACACCCCAAGATTAAACCCTCTTCCTCTGCCAATGCAATCTACTCCTTAGCTGCCAGGTCTGTTGGTTTTTAGCAAAAGTGCTCTTTTGTAACTTACAGAATAGTAATCGTAGGGTGTGCTCCATGCTGATGTCGGGGACAGGACGTGACACAAGTGTGTCAGCCTTAGTTTTAATCTCTGACAGATGCAAAATCCACAATCTGGAGAAAGCAGATGAAATCAGCATCCCAGAGATCTGTGGATAGTGCTGGTCGTTACCCTTGGCTGTGGCAGTAGGGAACAGGCCACAGTTGCTATTAGCTCTTTTATGAATTTATTTCTGAGTTGATCTTTGCATGAAATAGGTTTTGTGTAATGTGTACGATATTGTCAGCTCCTTTTGCGTCATGACTTTGTGCCAGTGTGACCTTGCAGCTGGACTGCTGAGAATCCTGAAAGCCAGCTTATTTCTTTAGACAGAATCACTATAAGATGGCTACTTGTTACTTCTGCTGTGGATTAAAGGTCGCTTTGATATTAATTAGATTTGGTGTAAATGTTTTTCTGATGTTTATATCTTGTTTCTTCTGCCTCCAGACCACTGCCTGTACCAAAACTGCCTCCTGGGGAACAGTCTGAAAGCGATGAAGACACTGAATACATGTCACCATCTTCTCTGCCTGTGGTGCCTCCAGGTCCTGCTGTACAAAAACCAGAGATCAAAATGCCTTTGGAAATGACTCAGAGTTTACGGTGAGATTCTGTTCCTATGTACACTGCTTCCTCCTCACAGCTCTGGGAAATATTTGTTTATTGGGACGGAGATTTTGCTTGCTTGGTTTGCTGGATTCCCCCAGTGATATTCACCGGAATCTAGCCTAACACAGCTTACTGTAAATGAAATATGACTTACCGCTCTTTGCAGAATCCTCACAGAGTCTTAAAGGAGTCAGATAACCCCTCCTCCCTGTTTCTGCTGGTAACCTTTTGAGAGCAGCAGCAACCGAAATTCAAAATTCTATTAAAAGTTTGTGTTCTGGTGGTATCGATTAAACTCTTTTAAGCTGATAAGCAGTGTATACATTTCTAGAGATTTTCTGGAACAAACACTCTTTCACAGAACAGTGGCGATTTCGCTTTGAAGCAGGGAATCTGTGCAGATTCTCGGTCACCGAGACTAGGGGGTGGTGGCTGACCCACTGTCACTTGTCTGAAGGGAAATATGTGTTCTCTCCCTCAGAGTTTTAGACTGCGAGCAGCAGACGGATGGCTGTACGTATGAAGCAATGTACAACATTCACTCCCAAGCAGCATCCTCTGCTTTCGAGACTGTCAGCACTTCTGGTGAGTGGGTGTGCTAAAAAAGCAACTGAGAAACTGGGGTACGGTGAATTGATCCCAGTCGCTGTTGAAACAGCATCTTAGGGTAAATTAAATGTTATTTGCTTTCGCTGTTAAAGTAGCTAGAATGTATGTGGAAACATCTGGGTCTGTGTACCACAGACTGCATGTGGGGATGTTGTTGAGAAGCCTAGTTGGAATGTGCTATAAAAATGCCCAGCAGTTGTTAAAAAAAATTGCTGTTTTGAAGATTATCTTTTTTCCTAGGCAGCAATTGTCAGCCCACATCTGTCATAAGTATTTTTAATCTAATACTACCTTCTGGAGAGAGCTTCCACTGAATGCGGGGTTTTGGCAGCAAAACCTCAGCTGTGTGTCCTGTCAGTGTTTGGGGACTAGAGGGGAACAAGAGTCTGCCTTGAGAGAGGTCCCCTTCGCTCCCAGAGCTCAGCATGTGCCTCTTCTTCTAGATGAAGGGGATCTGGCAGCAGCCACTGCCAGCAATGGCCCTGAAGAGTCAGAAAATGAGGAAGACGGCTATGACATCCCCAAACCACCGCTGCCAGTTGCTATTGCTCGTCGCACACTGTCTGATATCTCCAATGCCACACCTGCCTTCAGCCGAATGTCTTTGGAAAATGACCCCATAACAGGTTAGAGAACACCCATATTCTTCACCTTGTAGGGGGTACCGAGTGCTTGCTGTGCGTGTTTGAAACTTCTGTCGCTCTATGTAAGCTGTAAAATCAGGTTTCGAGGCAGAATTGCACAGGTTCTTAGGTTCAGTTTGGTTTGCAGCTTGGAGTGCACTGCCTTGGTCATTTAATCACTGAGCTAGCAAATCATATTTAAATCACAGTTGGGAAAACCTTTCCTCAGTTTAAAGGATATTTCTTAAGCCACAGTTTCCTACAGGGCGTGGCATACCTTTTGTACCAGGGCATAAAAGAGAGCTTCAGAATGTTACTGCTGGTCACTGCCCAGGTGAGATGAGATGGTTGGCCTTGCACTGCTGCTGGCTGCCTGTCTCGGCTGCCATCGTTGCCAGCAGATGGCACAAGTGAACTGTTGGATGCCCTCTCTTCCTTGGAGCGGGGACCTAGCGGCTCAGCAAGGTCAGCTTTTTGTCCCTGGGGAGTAGAGGACATCTTGTCCTGGCTGCAAGGCACGTTCTTCGAGGGAAAAACTAAAAGCCTCGCCTCTCCAAGAGCCTTTCTGAATAATACTTGACTTATTCCCCACAACTGTCCAGCAGCTCTAAAGAAAGCTCTGAAACTCTTCCTCTTGGGGATCTCCAGGACCACTTGCCCCAGTGAGTCTTCTGTTCACCAGCTTCACCACTTCCCCTTCCCTGAGCTTGCCCTTCTTCAGCGCCGAGAAGAGTTTACTGGTGCAGAGAAGTTTATTAGCTTTTGCCACTCCTCCCTGCTCCCCACCTCATTTTTTAAATCCGTCACTGTGTCTGTAGAACGTGGCCGAAAGGGATAAGAAGGGACAGAGGGAGCCCATGTCCTCCTCCCAGACGAAGGACAGAGCTTAATCATTGACGTTTCTTTGTCTCTACAGCCCTGAAATAACAACACTATTGTACCGCTTTGTAGTTTTAGGAGATCTGCTAATGAAAAATGCTGTGGAAATGCTGATTGTTACCGCTCTGGGAAACATATGCAGTTTTCTGAGACACTGGGTATTGTCTACTGCTGCAGCCTGACTAGTATGGGACACATTTTGGCAGATTTATGTTCTCATGCATTGTGCCCTACAGTTTAGTTTCTTAATCATTTACCAAAAATACTGTAGATGTCCTCTCAAGTTGACCCATGGTCTCTGAAATTTGGTCCAGTTCAAGCTGAAACAGCTGTTTCAAAAGACAGTTTGGGAGAGAGAAGTGGGTAGTCCTTTCTCTCAAATGTACAAAGAGCTTTTTGTGTGTAAGAAGCTTGTACTTTGAAGATGAGGGAGTTGGAACTGCATTGTGGTTGGTGAGAAAGCTTCAGTGAATTTGTTTCCTGAAGAGCCTCCTCTATCTCAGTGCTTTTGGTACAAAGTTTTTCAGAAGGGCTCCGCAGTGACTGCTTCATTTCTGACCAGTGCTGCAGTGCCCACTCTTAAAAAGGGGTTGGTTAAACATTCTTAGTCTTATGGTTTAGTCTTATGGCACCAGTTCTGCTGCTAGAAAACTCTATCTGGAGTGCCTTGAGGGGTTTCTCCAGAAGACAAGTAAAACTTTCTGTAAGGTGATGTCAGATGCTCACGCAGAGAAGTTTCCTGTGATTTGCAAAGTAGGAAAAAATGCTTTCTGTGATGATCCAGGAGGTTAGTACTCAAAAAATCAGATGTTGGATTAACACATTAAACAATGTGGTTTTTCTCCAAGGCATTAGCTAAGTCCTTGGAGTGTTTGGTGTCTTGTTTGGTTTATTGGCTATTTTTTCTTCCCTGGACAAATAACACATCTGAATGACGGAGAGGAAAGGCAGGACATGCTGAGCGTACCGAGCTGCCGTAGCTGCCAGCCCTTAGACAGGGTGAGCTTCAGCAGGAGCTCTTGTAGATGGCCCTGGCCTGCTGGCAGGGGAAGAGCAGCAGACCCTTCAGAGAACGTAATTCAGTTGCTGGAGCAATTGAGGTGGATGAGTTGTAACTGATAGATCTGATTTTGTGCGTGCTGCAGTGCGGACAGCAGGTCTGTGAGGAGAGGTCAGCATCTGGACACTTAAACTGGGGGTTGCTGTCAGATCCTAGATGGAAATGGGATGTTTGGTAAAATTCCATATTCTCTATGTAATTTTTTTCCCATCGGGTCTCTGCTTCTTATTCTAAGGCTGTAAGCTCTGCTCACACACACACACATGCATCCCTGGTCAGTTGTTTTTTTTTTTATTATTTACATGGTCTTATCTTAATAAATTAACCTGATGTGGCCCCCTAAGAAAAAACCTCCCTAGCTGTTTTTGCAGAGGAGAGGGGAAGCTGAACTAATCCATCCTGTTGTGTGAGAGGATAGGCTGGTTGGGGCAAGTGGAGTAGCTTTCAGTGGCGTGTTTTTGAAGTGCCATTTATCAGTCTGACGGCATTCCTGCTTTGTTCCAAACGAGAATCACATGTCCTCTTTTTTTTTTTTTTGAAGTGATGCATCTGTTTCTCCTTCCAGGTTTTTCAGATGGCTCTCAAGTTCCAGAAAGGCCGCCAAAGCCGCTACCACGGAGGATAAATTCTGAGCGGAAAGCAGGGAGCTGCCAAACAGGCGGAGCCAGCAGTGGGACCAGTGCGTCACTGCAACTCTCCAGTGAGATCGAGAATCTAATGAGCCAAGGCTACTCATATCAGGACATTCAGAAAGCACTGGTCATTGCACATAACAATATTGAAATGGCCAAGAATATTCTCCGGGAGTTTGTTTCCATTTCCTCCCCTGCGCATGTGGCCACATAGCACATTACCTCCACACCTACGACGTCTGTGGACCAACTGCCTGGGCAGCCCTAGCCCAGCTATGCACCAAAGGGGAAGGGGTTCCTTTAGAGACTTCGCGCTGAGGTCAGTCCTGCCTCTTAAGAGAATCAGTTATCAGGTTTTTGTGGTTCCAGATTTCAAAGCAGTGGGATGAAATGGAGCAGAATGGTGTTTTATACAGTGTATGTCTTGGAGTCCTTTACCCCTACCTCTTGTTTGAGAGAACAGATTTATTTCCAGGGTGTTGGTAGAGAAAGGTATCGCGACAAGGGATCCCCGAGCTGATGCCCTGGAGGCTGGGGGGAGTGTTTGTGCTGTGAATTCTAAGTGAATGCTCTGAGAAACAAAGTCTCGAGGTCAGTGTGGTGTGTCCTGTGGTTCATGGTACTAGGTTTGGATCTGTTCGCTGCTACGCGTCTGGCTCAGGCTTTTTAGAGCAGCTGGGAGGTCACTTTCTGCTGGGAATAAATAGGAGACCTTGGAAGAATCTTCCGATTGCTTCCTGTTTGCCATGGTGTTTCCCTCTTGCCTGTAATAATAGCATTTGTTGCTTACGATTCAAATCCTCCCTTTTTGCCTGGAGAGCGCGTGACTGGCTTCTGTCAGACATTTTGATCTTGACAGTGCTGGGAGTTGGATTCCTCCTCCATGTCCTCTTGCCGGCAGCACTGGCAGCACCAGATTTCCAGGCAGCTAGATGTCCCGAAAGTTTTGCGTGTTTTTGAGGGGTGGGAGAGGGTGGGAAGAATTTGAGTGAGAGCAAAGAACTGGCTGCTGCTTCTCCTTTTATAGCCTCGAGCATTTTGTGCTTCAATGCTCAGACTTGATTGTGGCCCTGCTGGGCTCGGGCAGCCGTCACTGGACACTCCCATGTGCTCTTTCTCTAGGAATGTTGCACCTGGTAAATATGATGTTTTATTTATCTTAATTGCATGGTGGCTGTTGCAGACTAGTGGCCTTCACACACATTCCATCATCTCCTTCAGAGAGCTTTTGCAGGAGCCAGCTGTCTTTGTGCCAGGCTGTTTTGTGGAATCGGTGGGTGCAGCTGATGTATTCGCTGGTATCTTACCTGCTTTGCAGTAAAAAGAAATGCAGCAGTTCTCTGCATGGCTATCAAAACAACATGGGGTCTCTTTTCCTCCATTTCCATTACTCTTAAGGTGTTGCCAGAGCTTGTGTTAAAACAGATCTGGGAAACTGTATTTGTCAAACGATCACGTGGCTTTAAAAGTCAGTACTCAGCTGAAAAAAAAAAACCTGACTTGCGTACTCAGTTACTTAACTCTGTTCGTATACGCTTGATGTGCGAGAGACGTGTGGTTCCTTTTGAGACGGTTTAAATCAAGTAGGGATACACAGACCACGGCCTGACACACGGACGAGTGCTCGGTGTACGCTGGGGGGCTCTTAGCCTTTGGAAGCATGTCCAGCATTATTTGCATCTCTCTCGAGGGCAGCAGCAGTCACTAGGCAAGGGGCTGCAGCTTGAAATATTGTTGGAGTGGTTGTGGCAGTTGGATGCAGTTTGGCCTTTTAAAGAATCTCGTAGCTGGGCTCAGGTCTCGGAGAAAGAGCTCGCAGTTGGCAGAGAGGACTTAGCAAGTATTAGCAAAGGGAACTGAGCATAAAATATTTTGTTTCTGTAAAGTATGGGCTTCTCTCTAACTCTACAGCTTTCTAAATCGAAGCGATGGGTTCCAGGCAGTTTAAAAGCATGGACTATCTCTCTTTACTCCCCTCCTTTCTGTAGTAAAGAAGATGTTCTCTGGAACCGTGAGATCTCCTGAGATACTTGCAGGCCATCACCGCCGTTGCTGTTGCGGGGCCAGGGCTGAAACATGCCAGTGGCACCCCCGTAGGTTTATGTCTGTGAGCACGGTGCTCTGCGGTGGTGCCGAGAGAGGTCGGGCGCAGCCAAGAGCAGGAGCTGGCCTTGGTCAGGGTTGCTGAGTTGCAGAGAAGAAGAGCTGTTCTTCTTCCTCTGCCCACGTGCGCAGCGGTCAGCGGTGTAGTGAGCCAGTCCTGCTCTCTGTGTGTGTGAAGCACTCTGCCAGTTTATGCCCGGCAGCCTCGGTCAGGCTGCCCGGGGGAGCTTCTGGAGAACAAGCCCCGTGCTGGGTGCTGCAGAGGCAGGAGCGAGGGGCAGCTCTGGTGGTTCTCTCAGTAGATCTGCATCCTACACCTGTGAACCTGAGCAACCAGTCCTAGAGTATGAGACTTACCTGGAGAACCAGGTAAAAACCCTTCTGCGAGGGAGCGCTACGATTTTATTTCTCTCATATTCTCTCCAGTGCTGCCGCTAGCTCCGTGTCGGGTTTGGAGCCGCTTTGACTTGCTGCGTAAACTCAGCTCAAGTGTGGCGTTGTGACTCTTGCCACTGCCAAGGCTGCGCAAGAGCCAAGTCCAGCTAGAAAGCCTTAACTCTTGTCTTGCACAGCGTGTGTGTGATCGGAGTACTGATGCCCTGTCCCATTCAAGCCCTTTATTACAGGCTTGTTGCAATGTTCAATTAAATCATGCCCAGCAGAGCTGTTGCAGGCCTGTCTTTGGGGTTTATCTGCTGAGAGACGTTCCTCTGGGGGTTGCTCCAGGTATTAGAGATTAGAGAGAGCAATCTTTGTGGCATGTATCACTAATTTTTCTGCATGTGTCCTTTCTGTGCACTGTTTGTGTCTCGAACTGATTTAAGAAACTTAAGCCTTGGCTTTTCCTCCTTGGACGTGTAAGCATTTGCTAGTACCGCTGAAGTGCAGCAGAGCCCTGACTGTGTCTTATGGCTGCGCTCTGTGAAGTCAATCCAGGCACTGTACAGTGTCTTTTTCTTGTTGTTCTTTCAGAAAGGTAAGCCTAAGATTGATTTCTCTTCTTTTTTTCCCTTCGCCTCTTGATCTCTATTAAGAAGTTAACTTTACGATGCTACTTTAAAAAGAAAAACAAACCCAACCCAAATGTCTAGTGCCTTTCTTAAGGGAATGCTGCATCACTGGGCTGGATCCGAGCATCCATCCCTCTGTGAAAAGGAAGAGCCTGAACTAGACAAGCTGTAAAGATGCCTTTGAGCGTGGGACTGCTTTGAAAGGGGTAGAAAGAAGGGGCAAGAAAGATGGGCAGTTGTCACGTCAGCTGTGACACTGTGTTCTGTAGCATTTCAACTGTGGAGGTTTCCTACTTTACCCGTTACTAACAGTGACTTGTCTGGCCTGGTGCTGTACTAAGCTTGGTGTGAAGACAGTAGAATCGTAGGACAGGTTTTGCTTGCAACAAAATACGAGTTCTGCTCATAAAAAAAATGCTGGTTTCCCCCCTACCTGTCAACCCTGGACACAAAGCAAGGCGAAAACACTTTGTACGGCCGGAGGTGGGTGGGAAGCGTGTGCGCAGCGGGGAGCTGTGGAGAACAGAGGGCGTCCGGCTGACTCCGTCTGGTCGGTGCCACTGTGCCCGAGTGGGACTCTGAAAGGAGACAGTATCCTGCCAGGGCTGTGGGAAAACCTTGCCTGTGTGTCCCAGGTGCTGCAGCTTGAGGCGTGGAGCGGCTGTGCTGGGAACCCGCCGACTCGGTTGGCTCTGCAGAGCTTTCCTGCGTCCCGCGCGGAGCCCTCGCCCTGGGGGAGCCAGCCAGGCCCCCAGTACATCATGGGCTTCCTGCACTGGGCCCATCACATTACTGTAGCTAATCCCCAGGCAGGGTCATTACTGTAAATGTTTTTGTTCAGTTGAGCAAGAAAAAATGCAACTCCCAGGGCACTTTCTTAAAGGTGCCGCTTTAAAAATTAGTGGGAAATAAGGACACTTATTTTTCAAGTTCCTAATAGAAATCTTTTTTGAAATTCCCAGTGGGGGAGGAACAGTAGTTCTTTCTCTTGAATGACAAATACCAATTTGTATAATATCAGTGTTAAAAATGTTGAGATTTTCACAAAATATTTTAAAAAAGTATAATAGTGTCATTAATATAAAAATATAATAGCAGTATTTAATCCTTTCAGATCTGTAAAGAATAAGGAAAAACAGAAGGTAAATATTCTTACAGAGAGTAGCTGAGCTTTAAGGTTCACTTGGTTTAAAGTCCTCATTTTGTTTGCAAATGCATTGTTAATGTTTAGAGGTTATACTAATGTTATTTATTAATTGTTTCCATTCTTGTATGCTGCCCACTAAGAGCTTCTTTGTTTGGGATTTCATTCACCTGTGTCAGTCCTGTGTCATTAAAAAAAAAAAAAAAAAAGAAAGCAAAACAAAGTTTTATTTTTAAATAAAATTTCCTTTGTTGTAGCAGATCGTCTGTGTCGCGTTGGTTCTGTGAGTGCTGGAAAGAGAATGTCATCTCGTTCGGGGTGCCCGAGTCTGAGACGTTGTCTCCTGGATCTCTTGCAGACTGCGACTGACTTTGTAGCTGTTTTAACTATTATCACAGTTATCTGTTAAATTCGAATTCGTATCGCAAATACCAACGAACGGGAAAGATTTATAGAGCGTTTATACTAAGTTTATTGATCGAGCTAACGTATGCTAACAGGATTGAGGAATGGAGGCTGCAGCCCGTCAGGCCCCGTTTAGACTCTGAGAAGGAGGTTGTCGGGTTTGTTGCCACACACGAGCAGCCTGGGGGAGGCCACGGGCATCTCCCACGGGCTCCACAGAGTTTCTGCAGCCTTACTGGGGCTCTCGTCCACGCTGGAGCATCACTCCCCCTCTGCTCTCACAGCCTCTGTTAGTACCTTGCTATGCACTGGAAGAGGCTTTTATAATTATTGCGTAACTTAGAGGTGTTACTATAGAATGTAGTTTTCCGTGGAATAGAAAGGATTTATAATAAAGCCCAAATTACGTATCTGTAGGTAGTATCACACACTTTGCTGTTGTGGGGTGATGGGAGCTGTTGTGATGGGGGCTGTTGTGGGGTGATGGGGGCTGTTGTAGGGTGATGGGGGCTGTTGTGATGGGGGCTGTTGCTGTCTCT